GTCGGGCCCTGGGGCTAGGAGGGGGGCGAAGGCTGCCGAGCGGACCCCAAGCCGGGCGGGCGTTCCAGAGTTGAAGGGAAGTGACTCGAGGGGTGTCACCTAGTGTGTCACAAACTCCACAGCCGCCGGTCCAACCCAGACTCGGAGATATTTCGGCTCCTTCTTCTTTATATAGGAGGAGCCGGCTGCGTCACATGGCGTCAGGGGCCATGCAAATGAGTCCTGTACCGGGCTTTGTGGCCCAGTTAAACCACATCCCCTCCCTGAACCTTAGGCTGGGACTGTAAACAGTTCAGCACTTTCCTATGCCAACTGGCATCTCCAAAGAGGGCTCTGGAGATCGGTGAAAACCAAACTGGAGCTGATTTCTTGGAGAAAGGAGAAGAACCAACGCCACAGCAGGAGGTAGGAAGCATTCAGTAGAGGGCAGCGCCCGTTTGAAAAGCTCCTCTTCAGATGTCAGCCAGCATACTCCCATGCGTTCGCCATGCTGTCACATGCCGCCCTCCCTGGACACCCACCCTCGCCATCAGGAGCCTCACTCCTTCCTACCACCTGCCTTCTCAGCCTCTCTCCTGCACACATACTTTGTCACCTGCATGCCCCCTCACCCAGCCAGCTTGCCCACTTAGCTTGCCCCCATCCCCAGCACCATCTACTCACCTCTTCCTACAGATGTAGCTGTCTGTGTACTGACACATGCACAGATCGGTGACATGCATGGACCAGTTAATTTGTACATGCCAGTGTGCATGGAGGGAGGAGAGAGCGTCCAGGAACTCGGATGAGTTGGGGAGCTTGTACATGGGAGCAGCTAGGGGCCAACAGGGTGACAGAGGGAGGTGGGGAAGAGACAGTAGGGAAGTGGGCACTGCAATGTCCACAAGATGCCAGCCCCTTTCTCTTTGGTCTCAACAACCTATTCTGCAATGCAGAATACATCATCCGGAATCTTATGTCCCTATTTTTAAAAACAAGATTTTGTTACTTTCCTATAAACAGCAAATGACAACAAAACTACAAACCAAGGCTATATACACACCATCCAGGAGAATACCCGCCTGGTGGTGGGTCTAGCCATACAGAGTTACGGAGTACTTCAGAGTCAAAGTCACAAGGGAAATGAGGTGATTGTTGCCTACTAAGAGTTACATATGTTTCCATCCAAATATACATTTTCCTTCCTTTTAGCCTCAAGCTTAAAAAAAAAAAAAAAAAAAAAAAAAGCTTGAGGTCCTTTTATGCTGCTCTTTCCTAAGTGAGGCCACCTGGTGGACAGAAGCAGAATTGCAGCCAGATGGAGCAACCTAGACGAAACAAGGGACAGGTGATGCAACTGGGAGTATTATTTACACCAATTCAGGGCCATACGGAGAACACTGGGTTCCACCACATATAAAATGGTTTGGATGAAGTTAGGGCCAGTACCCATGAATCAGTTTGTGATTCAGGCTGTGGTCCAAAGAAATACCCTAGTGCAATCACGCTATTGGAAAAGTACTGGGGCCTCTTATCAGCAAAGGTAATTATTATTTGCTTCAGGATATTTCTCCTAACCAGGTGCCTGGCACCAATACCCTGGCCAAGGCCCCAGTTAAGCCCAGTCTGAAGGCCTTAATTTCCTCCAGGCTGCCAGTGCAGTTATGTCACCGAAGAACCAACATTTTTAACAATGATGTCAGACTCCCATCGGATCCCCCCGGTGATAATATGTGCACAAGGGCCATTCTATTTGCAAAGGGCTGATAAACAGATCTGTGTAAGCGAACCTACTATATTATCCCAGGATGGAGATTTGCTTCACCCCAGTGTTTAGGTGGGAGACAATCCCAATCTCAGGACATTATGTTATCTTCAGGTCACAAGCTTTCTGAACAAGGTGTTCACACTAAGCTGCGTGTAACAGACAGAACAAAGTGCAGACTATATTTATAGTTCATCAAGAACATTAGCTGAGAAAAAAAAACCTTCTTAAATCCTGAGCTTAATTGATATTGGAATTTCCTGATATATTAATCTGCCCTCTGTGTCACACAGAGCTTTCTTGGTCCAGGAAGAGCCTCTGAGTTAACCTTTCATTGGCTTGTAAATCTTTCCTAAACTCACAATGGCTACCCACCCCAAGATTCCAAGGAAGATGATGAAAAAGGGAGAGATAAATAAGCTGGGTTGTCAGGGAAAAAAACACCACCAGGAAAACAGGGCATAAGACACAAGAAAAACCGGCTCTTTCAATGGGGACTCCCTTATATGGAGACAGAGGCATAGAAATCCAAGTAGTTTGGAGAGAGAAAAGAGGTGAAGTTTGCTAAGAAGGCTGTGTTTGAATTGTACATTAATTATACTTCAATTAGAAATAAGCTCAGTTTGAGACCCACTGACAATAACAGCTACCATTAACCGAGCTCCGGCTACGGGCCAGACGTTGTGTTGGTTGAGTCACAAACCCTGTGATGTAGGCACTGTCACTGTCATTTTACAGATGAAGAAACCAAGGGTCTGAGAAACTACCTTGCCCAAGGTGGTGCACAGCTAATAAATTATACAGCTGGGACTCCAGCCCAGGTCTTTCTGACCTAGAGACCAAGTTGGTTCTTACTACACTTACTAGTGGGGCAGGGAGTAGGTTTGTTGAATGAGTGAACCAAGGCAGTTGGGGGATGGGTTGAAGGCGCCAGGAAATTGGTAAGGAGGAAAAAAAGGTGAGGGGCAGGGGAAGTGCCTCTAGGATGCCAGCAGCGTGGAAGACTATCCAGAGTGTCCCAATGAGCTTTATAAGAAGGCTTTGCTCACCTGCATCCTTTCAAAAGGCAGCTATGCAGTCCTCAAAGAAAGCCCTCTCTGTCTAGGAAATAGGCACTATAAATCTAACCAGATGGATCCCCCAATGGACTAGGGGGATCCTAGGGTGTACAGTGTCCTAAATTAGGTATGGCGTCTTACAATAATACTCACAGTCCAGTCAAACGTCCAGTTCCTGGGGCGTCACTAACGGGCACCCTTAATTAACTTTTTTTTCTTATTCCTGCTGTGCTCAGCTGTTAGGAGAATGAAACCAACAACAAGAAAACAAGCTCATATCAGGGATGTAAGTTAAAAAAAAGACTTTGAAAGGATGTCCCATGTTCAGTCCACACTCAACCAATCTCTTGTTCCCTTAACACCTCTAATTCATCAGGCAGCAGTGAGGAGAGCTCACTTTGAGGCCTTATGATTCTCTGTTTGTAATAATGGCTGGATCCTGGGATCCCAGGGTTTGCTAAAGGAAGATAACCAACCTAAATGTCACTTTAGAAAGATTTTCAAACAAGAAGGGGAGGGGAGGAAGGGGTAGATAGTAGAAGGAGAGGGAGAAGTTGGAGGAACCCAAAAGGTTTTCTGCTTAACCCTCGGCACACCAGGGAATTCTGCCCAGAATAGCTGCGCCAAACCTCGCAGTGAGTGGACGCTTGTGCAGGATAAGGTATCTATGATCTGATCTAACTTTTCCAAGGAAAGTGCTGATCCAGGAGGCTCTCGGGGTTCTTGTGTCCTGTGGAGGTGGACCCCAGGCAGGAAACGGTGGCCTAGGAATTCAACAGCACAGCAACCCCAACGTGTGTAAATGTTTCCAAACTCCCTTTCTTCCAACCCATGACTTACACCGTAGGCTGAACTCAGAGCCACCACAGCCACCGTGGCCACAGCGCCCAACTAATGAGCCAGGTCCTCAGCCGGCTCTCAGTTCTAGCCCTACAGCTGTGGGACTCTGTGATTAGACAGACACAGCTGACGCTCCCTCTCTCAGGGGCGCCCTGCTAGATGGAGGGTGGCATGATGAGGATGGGACAACTTCCGCCACTTCAGGCAGGCGGCCCTGAGAGCCGACTTGTTCCCTTTGACGGGGAGCAGCATCTCAGTGTTCCCAGCAGTCTGGTCCACTTCAGAAGCCAGACTCTTGAGGACCAGAGCCCTTCCTCCTTAGGGTTCCCACGGCGCAGGGGGCTGGAGACTGGGCAGCCTGGGTCACAGAGCCGGCAGACAGGATCTCAGCACGCTGCCGAGGGGTGGGTGTGGTAGGTTGGGGGTGGCGACCAGGGGGAATATCTCAGTTCCCTTTTTTTCACACTCGAAGCATTGTGTGCCACACAGCCCAAAGGTAACTATTTATAGGCCAGTCTTCCTTATTTTCTACAGGGACTGTTCCACCCCAAGATGCGGCAATGTGGCCAGCCAAACACAGAGTCCCGTGTCAGGAGAAGAGGAAAAAGACACCATGCGAGAGGTGCGGGACAGACCGCAAAGCAAACACTGAGTTAGGAGCTGGACAAGGGACTCAAAAAGGATATGAGCACTGGAGCGTGAGCACAGTTCACGGGCCGGCTGCTAAACAACCCTCCCCACTTATTCCTCCACCGCGGGCCCCCTTCCGCCTGAAGCGCTGTCGACTTCTAATTACTTACTTGTCCCTTTTTCTGAAGAGGCTGGGGGAATAAGGAGGCTGAAATGCCATCAGTGAATGTGTCCTGGCTTCACTCTTATCTTCTCTCTTCCCCTCGGGTTCCACTCCAGTGTGGGAGACTATAGACAGGAGGGCTGCTGCCACTTACGTTACTTTGGCCTCATGGAAAATCCCCAAAGTCCAGAAGAAGGGAAGCAAGAAGGAAAGACGGTGACAGACAAAGTGCCTTGTCCTCTGTGGGTCACATGAACTGCTCTGCATGGCCAAGGGCCAGAACCCCCACTTTGGAGGGCAGGAAAACAGGGAGGAGGATGCAGACACAGATGCAGAAGGCGATGGTGGGAGGGGGAGGGGTGCGGGAACCCAAGGGGAGCTGTGGCGGACAGGGAGGGGTGCTCTCTTGGAAAAGCGGCTCTAGCAACCAATATGGGCCAAACTCTGGCATCGAATGATGGCAGGAGCAATGAATTGTGCCTTTCAGCTCCCTCCCGGACAGGGTCCCATGTGAGCGTCACAAACAATCTCCCAGTGACACTAGGACAACAGGCAGAACCAAAGCCCATTTGGACAAGGCATTCCACCCCACTCACCCTCATTCAGAGAAGTCAAAAAGGGCTCTTATCAAATCGTCTTCATCACCCTAACTTTTGATGGCTGACTATGGTGGGGAGGCAGTTTGTCCTTGGCGTCTCAGCAAGACTGCAACTATTGGCAACGTTATCCAGGAATGCAGTTTAGCTCAGCGGATCTTAAATTTCATGAACCTTGTGTCAATATTTATGCTTGTCTCCCTTCCCCTTATGCCTTGCAGCTGGGAAAATTTACCTCCATAATTTTTCTAAGCTCTCTTCTCATTTTCCACCATCCCCATTATCCATCTACAAGTATGAAATAGATATTCCTGAAAAAAAAAGGAATGTTCAGTTTACCTCAGTAAATGGAATTCCCTCTTCCTCCCCACACTAGTTGCCATTATCATTCAATTCAATTCAATTCAACTCATTTCAAAGTTCATTGAACACCTTACTCAAAGTGCAAGGCACACTGCAGTGAAATTCAAACAAACAAACAAACTGGTAGTGCAAACCAATAATTGTACTTCCTTCCAGAATATCCTGAGCCTGTGTCAAACTCAGAAGTCTCTCCACTGGTTAGTTCTCAGTGAAATGTTTACTTCAGGAAAAAGCCTAGGGCTTAGGGGTGCTAGGGAGAATAGCCTGGGGTTTGGGAGAGCCATCACACCACTGCCTCAACCCTGGGTATCACTTCATTCCTTAGAATTGGGTATGTTTTTTTTTCTCCCTACCGTGTCCTTGGCTTGTGCCCATCTAGATGGGGATAATACAGCAGCCACAAAGCTTGGAGTTTCTGTGGGACCTAAGGCTCCTCTGACATGGTCAGCAGTACCAAGGTCCTTCATTCTAAGTCCCTTCCTTAAGCCCTGGGGTTTGTAAACCAAGGGAACAAAGCACAGGTCTTTGCGGGTCTCTAAGTTGCCAGTCCCTTCCTTGTGAGAAGGGAAGGGGTCTACGTTTAGCATGGGGTTGGAGGGGTCACCTCTACCTGCAAACCCCTTGGCTTTACTTCTTTGGCCAGCTCTTGGTGGTCTTATCCTTGCTCTATATTGCCCTCCCAGACCAGTGAGCATCTTCAGGCGGGCACATAACCCCCCTCCTCAAGGCCCACCTTCTGGGAATCCTGCCCCTTTGTACTCTCCCAGTGGCTAGAAAAGAAAGCAGCAAGAACATGGCAACTCTCTGTGTCTGTTCGTCGGCACCAGCCTTCCACCAGCTTCTCTGGACAAGAGAGACACTGCAGGGCCTCTCCCCAGTCCTCCTGCTCTATGGAGCAGTCCCAAGAGCCAAAAATTCCAAGCCATTTTTTTCTGGCAGTTGCCAGGGTTACTTTGAGAGGTATGTGAAGGACTTGGGACTATTGGTGATGCTTGGAAGATGAGAACCAGGAGAATCTTGCTGGGGAAGCAGAGCCAGTGGACAAGGGGCCTGTGAAGAGGCCAGGGGCTCTGAGGTGGAGCACCTTGCTCCATTGTGGGCCCCCCGCTATAGAATGGATGACCTTTGAAGTGGTCCAGGTTCCCTGGGGAACAAAACCATGGTAATAATGCCAGCCTCTTCAGGCGCCGGGGGGCTTCTGGGCCATGATGGGTAAGCATTCGGAGTCTCCCAAGGCGCTCACATTGTACGCTCGAGGCCCTCGCTTACCTCACAGTGGAGCTATTCACCCCAGGCTCACTTGAGGTAGCTCCTTGATCCTCTGTTGACTTGTGAGGAGGGGCCCTGTAGTTGCAAAGGGCCTCTGGCTCTCTAACCACCCCCCCCCGCCCACCAACTCGGATGGAAAGAAGATAGCCCAGCTTGGGTGGGAGCAGTGGCAGGAGGGGAAGGGGACACACTACTACTCCCAGAACAGAAAGAAAGGAGAGAAACAAGGCAAGCTCCTCCCTGGGCAGCCCCCGACCCCCAAGCCATGGGAACAGTGCCAGGGAGCTGAGAAGAGTGCTGGGAGGGTTAAGGGAGGTCTCCTGCCAGGTTTGAGAAATGATGACAAGGAATACGCACACCTTATCAGGAAGAAGGAAGCACAGACTCACACACACACATTTATGCAAACACCCTTTCAGCATCTGACAGTCTAATTCCCAGAGCTAGGTAGGCAGGGGGCATCATTCAGTCTCAATCTCTGTCTCTGTCTCTTTCAGTGGATGCCAGCTTCCCTGTGACCCCAAAGGGATAGTAAGGCAATAAGACATGGCCAGATGACAAGGCAGGACACTCTAGACCAGGCCAGAGCATCACCAGCCATGACCTCTGCTCTCTCTGACGTCCAGAGCTGGCTGTGTGCTGTGCAGGGGTCATAGGTGACAGGGTCTTGGGGGAAGCTTGAAGTGGCAGTCAACTGGGTATAGGGGGAACCAGCTTCACAATGCACACCAGGAGCAGGAAGTGCTGGTGCTGCCAGGTCCATGGTTTTCAAAGATGTCAATTACACATGAAAATGAAAGAGAAAGAAAAGCACACACCATTTGTGCACAATCACATGAATGCCTAAGAAATTATCCCCACAGGCTCCTCACTAGGGAAGTTTTTTTTTTTTAATGGCAGTACCAGGGATTGAACCCAGGACCTTGTGCATGCTAAGCAGGCGCTCTACCACTGAGCTACACCCACCTGCAATGAGGACTATTCTAGGAGAGCCAGTCCTGGCACAGATACCATATATGGCTGTGACTGATGACCTGAGAAGTGTGATTTGAAGGGCACTGGGAACGAATTCCTCTCAGTCCAAGCTGTCTGCCTGGGTGGACTACCGCAGTGCCTACGAACACCACTCCCTGAGTCATACTTTTGGGTTCTAATGGAATCCTTTACACTTTGAGGAATTAGGAAAGTTTTTTCTTCCAACGCCAAAAGCCCTGGGAAAGTACCACATCCTGCCACTATTGGTTACAAATACTTAAATAAGTCTGAACTAAATTGTTGTATTGCTTTCAACAGAGTAGTGAGTGACCGATCAGCATCAGAAGATGACTAAACACACAGCAAGTAAACCTGGGGGGAAAATGGGTCCAGATGAGGTTCTTAACATCAGGATTGCCTGGAGGAGCTGGTTGAGAATATGGATATCCTGGGCTCCAGCCCTAGAAAATCTAGTGGAATACATCTGTGGCTTGGGAAGGGTATTTTCAGGAGATGTGGACACAGCTCATCTGGCCCCAGTTCATGGAACTGCTTTGGGGAACCAACGGCCTATAGGTGAGACCAAGACACACTCTACTCAGAGCTCCCATAGTGCCAGGGTCACCACGACCCACTTTGCGTGATATGCCATGATGGGGTTCAGCATATTCTAAGCCCAACATCTGTTCAGTCACCTCTTTCCCTCTCATGTTTGGCCATCTCTTTGCTTCCCACTCCTGAACACTTGATCAGAGTGTAAATGAGAGCTGCTATTAGAAGGATAACCCAAACCTGCTCAGATTTATAAATCACTCTTTGGCAAATTTGGCTTCTCCGTTATGAGAAACAGACTGCTTCTATGATACTTCACAGCTGTCGGTGGGAACTCTTGCCCTGGGAGGTTGGAAGCGTAGGGGGTGGGCACCACAGGGTGGGAGAGGAGAAGAACCCGGAGAGAGGGAGAGAATGAACTGGGAGGGGCTGATTTTTCTCTAACAGCACAGTCTGGTCAATTAACCAGCCCTACCTCCCTTCTACAAAAGCCAGCTCTCCTCCAGCCCTGTGGCTGTCACTGCCCGGTCAAACGTGGATCCATTCCGAGGTTGGCTGGAGGGCTGTGACTCATCCCCCCTCAGCAGCTTGCTGGGGCTGACTACAAAGCCTTGCCAGGATCTCTACAAACATGCCCATCCCCACCCCGATCCAAGCCTTGCGCTCCCCTGCCCCTACCATCCTCACCCATTGCTTGTGAGTCCCTCCCAGGCAAGGAGGGCACCCCTGCGGCTCACTGCCTCCCCTCTCCCAAGGGAAAGCCAAAAGGGGAATTCACTGCTCCCTGTTGTACGCATCTGGCCTGTGTTTTGGTATTTTATTTTATTTGTATGTTTAATTTATACAGCCTGCTAGGTTTGGGGCTTAAATATAAAAGGCCATGCTTCCCCCAAGGCCTGGACTTCCTGGTTGCCTGTCAGGAACAGAGTGACCCTTTTAACCTCTTGTCTTGCTCCCTGAGACAGGTAGTGTTGGGGATAGGGTTGGAAGAGCAAGCTATTTTGGGTCAAAAGCCTGGAAATTCTTAATGCCAGCCTAAAATACCATCCCCCCACCCTTCTCGACGTGAATGTTAAGTCCTGAAGCTGCCTTACCAAGTACAGACTTCTTTTAAAGGCCACTGTGAGACTGTGAGGGTAAAGCACAAAAACAGAAAATTCTAAGTGTTTGCATTGATTTTTTGAAAAACCTACTTACAGATGTCTTTGTACCACCAAGCAAAGACAGAAGGGCCCACGTCTTGGTGGGCGGAGTCTTGGCAGCGAGCAGCCTTAAAGGCCTAGAGACTGAGCAGAGCGCAGTGG